AATATCTTCTTGCATACCTAGACAATTAATCGGAACTTCCGCAGGGCAAGCCGAATTTGCAGCGGTTCCGCAGGACCTTGCTTGCTATCACAAAAGTGGAAACCTTGGAAATAAAAACTTCCGCAGGATTTTCACGTCAGACAGGTTGAAAGCGGAATTTTCCGCAAGACTTTTTACAAGGGACTGCGGAACTTCCGAAAAAGGCCAGCGGTTCCGCAGCACTTTGGCCTGCCAATAGTTCCGCAGAAGTCCAAACGAGATAAACTCTAGTGATGATTACCTTATGAGCAATCGAGGGAGTTCTTTTTTGCATGCGTCCACCCATTGTCTCCTTTTCCTCAAATTTTCTATATTGATGGGATCATAGCGCACTTTCGAATCAATTTTTTGTTCTTCTCCTTCGCACTTCATCTGCCTTCGAACCTTTTCCTAGCTTCCAGGACGTGCAAACTTTAACGGCCGAGCTTTTTTTTCGTAAAATCACGCTCATTTCCTTCTTTATCTGCTTCCTCAAAGATGTTCTTCTCGGTATATCTTTTTCGATTAATTGTTAATTAGTTACTAATTGTAAGTATTGGCAATTGAAAGAAAATGTCTGGACCTTCATAGAAGGCTGATTTTCTGGCGACATTATCAGCACAGTAACACTTTATGTAAATTGTTGGCTGTTTTCAAAGGGTTATTCTTTACAACAATAAGTTGGTTTGCCCATAGTGCGGATTAGCATGATTGCCAATAATCAAAAACAACAAAAAAATTTCTGTTTCATTCCGCCGTTATTTGGAAAAAAGCTTAGTCTTGCTGATACGTCAGGAAATAGATATGTAATCATTCACTATTATAGGAGGCTTACGAGACGAATTTTTCATTTGGCCATTGTTCTCATTACACCCAGTGATAGATATAGAGCCAAAAAATAATTAAAGGGTGTTTCCTGTTGTTGTTGGGATCAAAAATGAACAAAAAACCCCAACAAGAACAAAAATATCCTTTGTAGGGGAAGGCATCACTGAGGACAGGCTTTTGGGTGGTAGCGGTAAGAATCGAAGGGATTGGACAAAAAAAAGACTATAGGCCATGTTTAGAGGAAAATTTCCTGCAAGATTAAACTAAAAGGATATTTGAAAACCTCAACTTTTTACAAGTAACAATTTGAGGCTATTTTGAAAGTTGTTCAATTCAAATAATACATTTTACGAGTGGATTTTTACTGATGACTTTGTTATTTTATTATTGTTAATTATTTTTACTGGTTTGATGTGTGTTTCGACATTCCAACATTGTTTTCTCTTCCTCACTGTTGATGTAGATGATGGCTAAATAAGTGCTTTTGAAATAAAGCATCCAAAGAGAATGGGGGAGGGGCGAAAGAGGAAGCGGAAGAAATTTGAGAAGTGATACCTGTGTACTCAACGTCAGCACATATTCGGAAATAGATTCTAGGTCGTTATTTTTTCCTGAAGCAGTGCTTCCCCCCCTCTTTTAGCAAAATCTGTTTATTTTCTGCAAGCATTTATTCCTAAGACTTTTTGGGTTCTTAAGTTCAAGAAAACTTACAACATTATTGAGAAAAAAGTCGTTTTTTGACGCTGTGTGATTATTTGTATCTACTATCGAATCATGCTCAATTCTACTATATATAGTTAGAAAACTTTAAGTACAGACCTCGTACAGCTTAGGCTATTCTATTATTCATTACTTGAGGTCTGAGATTCTATGGAATACGAAGCGTATAAATTCAAGTTATAGCTATTTGAAATGCCAAGAATTCAAAAAAAATGAAACAGATAATTCATTTTTTTCAAATTCTATATTCCACACGCGAAGAAGTCGTAAAATAGGCTCCAAGACGGGAGACGGTCTTTCCGCACGGGCTGTCTCCAGAGTCTCCCTGATTTTGACGTGTCTTAACATGTAGTGCACGCCGCAAACTTTTCCTCCCCCTGTCTTGCTTAGGCAAAAGCCGCCGCAGGGTGTGTCGCGCGCGGCGGTGGTCCTGTGTGGAAAGCACTACGGTCGTGCGAATCGTCCTACACCCCTCCAAGACGCTCTATCCGTGGACAATTAAGATCCTGAGACCATAGCTTCTTGTAATAACTTCAAGTTATCATACAACTTGTGTATTTTGCAGGCTTGCCCTGTTGGAAACGCTTACTCTCAAAGTGCTCATATGTTTTTTTATAAAATCGCAAACCAGCCAGAACTTTAAAAATGGATTATGGTAACCTTATCCTGCAAGCAAGACTTATTTTAGCAAGACAACATTTATCATCTCTCGTCATTCATTTCTTACTTGTTTTTTTCGACAACTGCTCTGTTAAATTTTAGATCAATCTTGAAATAAAGCTACAAATAATGAATTAGAAATTGGCGGAGTGGCACCACCAGGAGTGGAGCCTGCGGCTTAATTTGACTCAACACGGGAAACTCACCCGGCCTGCAAACCGTAAGGCCCCGGTCAGACTTCACGCGACTCAATCGTCGCGACCAAATCGCCAAGATTTCCATTCATTTTCATTTCACATTCAAAAATTTCGGTCTGGAAAAGTATCACAACCGAATGCAAGTTGATCTGCATGGAATGATGTTGTAACAGTTGTCTCCTCGCGATTCAGTCGCGACGATCAAATCGCGTGAAGTCTGCCCGGGGCCTAAGGATTGAATGAAAGCTCTTTTTCGATTTGGTGGTTGATGGTGCATGGCCGTTCTTAGTTGGTGGAGCGATTTGCCTGGTTTACTAGTGAACCAGTAATTAAAGGTGCTAGACTGCATCCGCACGCTTCGGGACCGCACCTCGGTTTCCCGCTATTTGATCTTTTTGAATTGGCACTAAGATTTTTTATATATTAGATTCGAGCTAGCAAGCAATAACGAGCGAGACTCTAGTCTGCTAAACAGTGACAGAATTTTTACGTCCAGTCTTCTTCTTATAGGGATAAGATGTGTTTAGGCGCACGAGATTGAGCGATAACAGGTCTGTGATGCCCTCAGATGTCCGGGCCTACACGCGCGCTACAGTGGAAGAATCAGCTAGCCTATCCATTGACAAAAAGCATTGGTAAACCCCTGAAACTCTTCTGTGACGGGGATAGGGAATAGTAATTATTCTCCTTGAACGAGGAATTCCTGGTAAGTGTGAGTCATCAGCTCACGCTGATTACGTCCCTGTCCATTTGTACACAGCGCCCGTTGTTGTCCGAGATTGGGCTATCTCTAGAGGAGCGTTATGACGGGAAACTGATTATTCGCAATAGCTTGGACCGGGTAAGTCGCAACAATGTATCAATAGATGAACCTGCAAATCCTTTGATCATGAGAAACCAACATGCTTGCTCTTCACGACTTTGTCGGAAAGGTTGGTAGTATCGCTCCCCTTACCAACTAGCTGAGGCTATAGCATCAATAAATTCAAAATATCAATTATTTTTTATTACTTATTTTCATTTAAGCTATCTCAGTTTTGTCAGAAACGCTTAACGTTTTTTGGAAGTGTTTGTGTGTTTTGTATAAATTGCAATCCGATTAGAACCTCAGTGTGGATTGTAAGTCAACAAGCAAAGTCAGCACCGATTATCTCTCGTCATTTATTTTTGTATTCGTCACCACGACTTCTTGATGAATATTCAGATGAAACTATGGAGCTCCCTTGATCGAAATATTTGATTTTAGAGCCTTCAAATTTCAAGTAACCTAATAACTTGAGAAAAAATCGTAGTAGTTTATTTTCTTAGCCCATGTAAAGTTTTTTTTTCTAATTTTTCACAACCAAAGTTGGACCGCTGATGCACACCTTTTTATTGTGCTTTGTTTTTCCGTTCATCTTCTTGGAAATTTTTTATAGCATTTATTATTTAATTCAACGTGCTGTTGTAGTTTTCGAATAATTGAATAAAAATTAATTAAATAGACAAAATAATCCATTTTTTCCATACCGCTTGATACTTTTGATATCAATAAATTCGGTAAGAAAATCCGATTAGTACGCTTTCTTGCATCATTTTGTGAGTGAAAAACGTTTCATTTTTTACTCGCTCTTTTGATGGTTAAAGACATTTATAGATCGAAAATTTGTCGCTTTTTACAAGTAGCTAAAAAGTAAATGTCAATTTTCAACTATTACAACAAAATAAACGAAACAACTTTTCTATAAGAGTATAGTTGATTTTTTTCTCGTTGCAACTTTTCATTCTTCCCATTCATTATCCATCCATTTCAAAGTGTTTTTTTTTCTCGCGACTTTTTTGAGTTTCAGAATGGAACTGCGACTCTTCAACTTTCAGTGCAAAAGTAGTTCTACACGTGGGCGGCGTGGGAAAAGTGCTCATTAATTGCTCGTCGCATAGTTTATCTCATATTTCGTGGGTAACAAACTCATCATTTAGTTGTCAGCCACATTTTATCGATTTATAATGTTTTATAGTTGTTTGTCATAGGACAAAGGTTATTTTTTAACAAGGATTTTTAGTATTTCTACCATTTACCCTCCCGAAACGGGAATTTTTCTGCGCATTTTCATGTTTTACCCATTTAAAACACGAGTTTTTCCGCCTATACTTATTTTTCACGCTATAAACAGGTTTTTTCCTGCTTTATGATTGAATTTTTTCAAAACAGGAAGTTGTCGGCAAATTTTCTGTCACTGACCCTCTCAAGATAGAAATTCTCGGCGTGTCTTTTTCTGGTCGACTTCGTAGAAACAGGAGTTTACCCGCATATTTTTATAAATAATCGCCTTGAAACGAAAAGTTTTTTTTTGACTTTTTTATAGTATTTTCTCAATTTTTGGTCGTATCTTGAAACAGGATTTTTCGACATGATTTTTTGACTTAGTTTTTGAACAGAAATTTTTGTGTACTTTATGAAAACCAATTTCTAGCCTCATTTTCCATTTTCCCACTTTTTGTTCTGCTGTATTTCTTCTGTTTTCCACGAAGTCTCTAAATTTGTTGATTTTTCGCGTTCAATATGAAAAACCATTTTTTTCCATAAGTTATAATTTTTTTCAGGTCCCCAATGAACGGTTTCTTGGTGTACTTGGCAACACTCCATGCAGCCGTGTTTGTCGCTTATTCGCAATCAGACTTCGATTCGCAGGTTTGTAACGGATTTGTGCAGAGAGCAGGAAAATGGAACGGGGAAGATGGGTTTTTTAAAACCGAATTCTCGAAATACGCTTTTATAGTTCGGTAAACCATGCACATCATCATATCAATGCTGGAGGACAGAGCCAATTTCTGAGAACGGATCACCAATCTCGCTCATAGGTTTGTTAAATCACAATCAGTTTTTTTTTAAATTTGGAAATGTTCTTACACACCTCGATTCAAGCAAAAATCCTTAATTTGATCAAAAGTGAATCTGAACTCCAATTCTAGAGCTTGGTGGTTGCCTAATCAATCCATGATAAAGAAATAACCTTTGATTCAAAAGGTTGGACGCTGGAAGGCGGGGCTTTGTGACCTAATTAAGACCGCTCGCGCCTGTGACGCACTCTGCGTCTCTTCCGTGCTCGTGCTCTCTGATCATTACCTAGCTTTGATTAGGTCACGAGGCCCCGCCTTCCAACCGCCAAGCCAGTTGAAACAAAGGATACCTATATCGACATCGACAGCAGTTCAATAGTAGTAAGCACTCATAAGGTTAAAAACTTGGCATATTCTACGCACTGATAACAAAAAAAACTTGCTGCTTCCATCATGACCACCTGCTTTGCTATTGTAACTAACGTCTGCAATCTCTTCGATCAATATATCGATTTTCAGCCTCATTGTAATGCATATATGTTTTTAATTACATTTTACTACAACTCGCTTTCATTGAATGTATGGGCGGGCTTTTTTTTGAGGCCTTTTCGTAACCCCGTATTTCATCTTTTGATTTTGGCGCTGTTCCACTCGAGACCCACCAATTTCGTGGTAGGAACCCATAATAGAATAATGCCTATGCAGCTACTTAAGAATTCTGTAGACTTGAAAAATTGTTGAATATTGTTGTAATGAGTGTTTTTAATTGTAAGTATCTTATTTTCAGCTCCTGGACGAACGAAGAGACTGGAACTTGCATCGCAAAGTCGAGGAGGTATGTGATCTCATGTAGTTTACTGTTCACACTGTCGTTGTTGCCATAGTCCAGTCCCAGACAAAAGCGGTTGTCCATATAAGCGAAGCGCACGCAAGCGCGACGCGCAGGTGATTATATTATCGACCTCTAGTCTCCACGTCACGCTGCTCCATTTATAATATGTGCTAATCACAGCGTGGTGCATGCTTCGCAGGATATCGATCGCCTTTGTCTGGAAATAGCCCTCGAGGAAATCGATAGACAGTCTAGCCGCGACGCAGCCGCACGCGTAGATGTGCGCCGCGCGCAGACGCTCTAGGTTTTCTATAATATTTTTCCATTTCAGCACGTTGCCGTTGTATTGAAGACACATGCCGCATGTTTGTATTCGCCAGTGGAGTCTATCTGCCATGTGAAGAGTTCTAAAGTGCTTTGTTCCCTCTCTCTCTCTCACACGATCTCATATTTCCAATAATAACACATCGTTGGATGTCACATTACCGTCGTTTTCAGTTATTTATACGAAGCACGATAAACTCGTTGGACAACCGTGAAACAAATTCTAATTACTGTTGTTTACATCTTCGACAATCTTAAAAAAGATTTATTCTGCCGTGTTATCTGGCATCCTATCACAGAAAAGAGATCAGTAGGAGTTGGAAAAATTCAACAGCATTCGCCTTGCTCGTAGATCTCGAATAGGGAATGGCACTGAAACTGGAGCATGTTTGAGGAATTGTTTTCATGCTATGGAAATGCTTTTAAGAAACCCCTCCCCCCCCTAACTTCTGCGTTTAGAGCACCTCCCCAAATTGAGGATGGTGAGATTTTGATGTTGTATGATAGCATTGCCCCTAACTAAGTAATAGCCCAAGCCCCACTGTAAAAGATAGATTCCGAATTAGAAGATCTCCCTAGAAGGAACGAGCGCCCAGAAATCTCCGCCTATCAACGTGGGTGGTCTCAATTGAACTATTCCGAAAGTGTATATCTAGAACTGTAATAAATATCAGACGTTCGACGTTTCTATGTACCCTGAAGACCATTTCAAATTGATTGATTTCAGACCATCCAAGTTGATAGGCGAAGATTACTGAGCCGCTTGTACCTCTTAGGGCAATTTTTTGCTTCGAAGCTCATGTTTTGCAGCGGGACTTGGGCAATTATCTAGTTAGGAGCTTTGCTATTATACAGCGTCAAGGTCTCATCATACTCGATTTGGGCGGTGCCCAAAATGAAGTTTCACACTGCATAGCAGTAGTTTAGGCTGCGTTTAAAGTTGCTCGTGCCAGCTCAGTGTCAGCGCCGTGCCGGAGTGTCGGTCGATCAATACGAGGTGCTTCTACATGGGCGTTACCACGGTGCTAGCACGGCGCTAACACGGTGCTGGCACATGCATAAGTCCGGACAAGTCCGTTCTTGATAAACAAACCTTCCTCGATACAAGACAGTATATCCACAAATGTTTAGATTGATTACGATTGAAAAAATTGGGTCCGATAGTGCAGTTCGAAAGTTTGGCAACAAATACACCAAAACTCAGAACCGCGCAAGGTTTTGGTCATTATGTACTCTGCCAAATCTTGGTTGATATCAACTCTTCTATACTTCATTCTGTTTAGTATGAAGGCAGTAGTGCTTATCCCATCTTTAGTATGACAGTAGACAATTTTTGGGTTATTTTCAATTTTTAACGTTATACGAAGTGTTTGTTCTAGGAAATCGAAAAATGGAGCTCACCTTGTTCCCCTTTCCGTCGTTCCAAGTTCGAGTCGAATATTCTTCGGAGCATTCGCATCACATTCCAAAACGTATAATCTGGTCTAAGTGCAACGTGTCCAGGGAAACTGAAATGAATATGTCTAAGACGTAGTGTAAAAGAGAAAAAAAGCTATTATCTGAATTTTGAAGTACTAGCGCTCTATCAGATACGTCTGCGTGCTTAAATTAAAGGTGTTTAGAAAAAATAGGGCAAATCGGAATGTGGGGTGTATGCCACGATGAACGATAGTTGGAAAATAGGCATACTGTATTCCTGCGGTTGTCAATATGCCGCTCATAAAATCTTTTTTTTTTGAAGCATCATGTTCTTCACTGGATGCAAAATGGTGTCGAATAGTAAGAACTGGGGCATAGCGGGCTCCCAATGTTTTTTCAACTCCTTAAATATCGTCGTAGTGGAGATATAGAATTTGGAAAATATTTGATCTATGCAACGCAGAAAGCTGGCACAAGCTATCGTTCTTGTTGGTGCCCCCACCCCCTCCCCCGGAATGTGGGTCCCTCATGTGGAGATTGAAAGGCTTTGATAAGTTATCGTCCAAGCAGCTCCTATGCATTCCTGTTCGAAAAATACAGCTTGAAACTCTCGCTCATACCGTACTAGCTACCATAATCTAGGGCGCTGATTGGTTCACTTACAAACTCGTGGTCTAGATCAGCCAAAGTGGCACAATCCATAATTAGAAGCTCACCGTTTTATCTTTGTTGCAGTCCTTTTTCGATTGAATCGCATTTTGCTTATTCTTATAGAACTTGTAGTGCCAGTTTCAATCCATTTTGCTTTTTTTGCAATTAGTAGACACTATCAGCTCGAATTTACCTCAGACACTTGCGCAATTCCCATTCAGCTCATCCCAAGTACATTAACAGATTATAGATTACAGGAAAGGGTTCAATCAGTAATCCACATGAGTAACGAAAATGTCAAAGGAAGAAATGCCAAGCTAAATCTGCAGCGCAAAGGAGTACACTAACCCTTCTTGAGCATCTGTAACGTCGCCGTTCCCTGGTAACATGGGCTGGTCAATCGAGCAGAAAGCAGCAGAGATCAACAACGATGATAAGAGAATATAAAGTCCAAGCATTTTCTAAAAAACTTAGGTAATAACTCATAAATTCTAGAACTGGTAGAAAGTCGAAAGATGAGGATTCGGAACAAGCAGCAACTTCCGTTTAGTCGAATCATGTTCAATGACTAAAAAATAAGTTTGAATTGGAAAGGAAAAGGAAAAGTTGTCCACAAAGGCCAAATCACAATAGAGACAAAAAATATGGACATCTCCTACAAACTTTTGCCACTATAGAAGTACTAAGGGAAATGTGCTGTGTACGATTGGATCTGAAAGGCAAACTCGGGATATTAGAATATTTACAAAGTCAATTTACAGAATAATTTCGAAAATCACAAGTTACAAATCACAATTTTGAAAAATGTATTTTCGAAAGTTTGACTTGGGCATTAGATTCTTCCTTGCAATCCTAACAAAAACTCAGATGTAGATTGTAAAGATAAAATAGACCCCAAACAGGGTACGAAGGTGGCTCACATTAAAGGCTAGTTCAGAAGAGAAAAGCAACAATCACAGAGAATAGAGAGAAGATAAAATACGAGCTTTTTAGGTGAAAGCCCGAAGTACCAGAAAATTAGGTACAGAAATCAAATGCTTTGAAAGAGAAAAAGTAGATTATTGCCGCAACCTACCAATTTTCAATATTTATGCTAAAATAAATTTTGGATAGTTTACCGACTTGCGCCAATCTATCTGGGCTCACTACTCCTTATATCCCATCTCGAAAAAAGGTACTCGACTTTGTTTTCGGAAAAATGAACAAAGACGCTACTTCAGAAAGACTTGATTACATTGAATACCCTTTTCTTACTGCATTTCTTCTGTAAGTTGATACAAAGAAGATCTGTTCTACAAGGAATCTAGACTTCCCAAAATGGAATACAGCTAATAAAGTTCATAGAAATTTATCGTACAGATACTCAGCAAAATTTATAAATGCGAGCAGGGTAGTATACGTTTTCCAATGAGTACTTCAACTTCTGAGAAAAAGAACCACAAATCTCACCGAAAGTGATTATAGGTGGATGCTATCCCTCAGAACGCAACAGATACACAGATTTATCAGCTTGTTGGTTGGCAGACATCTTTCATTTTGTTGTGATAGACATCTAACATCAGTACCGGCCTATGTCAAGACCAATAGTAACTAGTGTACTAGAGCTGTACATAATTGACTCTCTGGAGCCGGAACTATATATATTTATCATGCTAAATTTTTGTACCCACTTCTCGTTCCGTGGGAAAATGCGCGGCAACTAAGCATTTGACCAAACATTGAAAACCGTGAGTAAATGAACTTTTTAAAATTACGCTTGAAGATGTAAAATTGATATAACTACCTTTCCGGCTTTCCTTCCTTACTGAGTGAGAAGTTTCGGGAGAGCCCGAGATTTTTTACTCCGTCTAAAAAAAGAACGAGAGGGAGTTAGAAAGAAACTTAGTTTCTGGTACTTAGTTTCATAAGATATGTATACTTTTTTATAGAATGATGCCATGCCATCCTCATAAAGATGGAACGCTGGTTGCAAATCTGGTTACAGGTTCTGCAAAGCGCTTCTGTAAACGGAGTTACGGGAATTTTTCTTTTGAGATAAATTTAAGTAACCCACTAGCATAAGTTTATTTGACTAAAAGTATCAACTGCATAAAACGCCGTGGCAGCAATCATGACCCATTTGAGCTCACGGACTCTGAACGATTCCATTGTAGCCGAGCTTTCAAGTATTTGTTTCGAAAACTCCCCTACCAGAATCGCTTTGCAGATATCGAAAGTAGTTTAAAATCAGTGCTCCTGCTCTACAAGACAGTATAATCTCCTAAGGAAACGCCACTTCGACCAATGTCACTTTGCTAGTAAGTCAGAAACGCGACAACAAAAATGCACAATACCTCGAGTTAATAACTTATAAAAGTTTTGCATAAAGGTCGAATCTTTCTCAAAATCAATGTTTAATATAATGGTCACAATTTTCTTTTCCATATTTCATATTAACGGCCAAAAGCAGTGAGATCTGGTTTGACGGTTTACCTACAGTGTTAGGATGACTTTTTTGGGACATCCCAAATCAATAGCGTTGCAATTACATGTGTATAACTAAACCAATTTTTGAAATTTCGCAAAAAAATTATGAAAAGCCGCTCCCTTTGATCGAAATTGTTTTCTGGACCATTTCGCCTTCCCCCCCCCCCAAAAAAAAAAAACCCTTTGCACCCTCACTGCTATCTAAGGCTAAGGGCATACCTCACATGATTTCAGTCGCGACACGATTTGGCAATTCGCCAGAAGTCTTTAGATCCAACACCAGCAAACTGCACATGCATAGTGTGTATAACTTACGCAGATTGCTAAAATGCCCCATCCTCTGTACATTTAAAATGTGCTTACAGTGAGTTATGGACAGTTGGAAGATCGCCAAATCGCGTCGCGACTGAAACCGCGTGAAGTATGCCTGGCCCTTAATACGTAATGAAAGCAACTCCGTGCAGCAGATGACCTTAGTATTAGCTCAAAAGAATTAATAAACGGAATCATAGTGCTAACTTGATGCACATGAGCATGAGCGAAAAGTAGAAATATAGGGTAAATTTTCTAATTTGTACTCTATACATGAAACCCTTAGTCCGTTTCTGTAGGACTATACAGCATCGATACTGTGCTTTCAGAAACGGTGATTCGAACGGAATGCGCCGGGAGTGCCGTACTGCTGTTATTTTTTTTGTTAGAGAAAAAACTTAATATGTTTTGCGCAAGGCAACATAAAGGTGATGTTGCGTCGGAAATGCGGAATCGGTAGAACTTTCTGCAGAACTGGTATTTTTAGCTTTCAGATGCTACTTGTCAGATAGTCAGAGCGGAATTCGCTAGGGGTAACCTAAAAAAAGTTGAATGCGTCATTTGCGCATTATCGCGCTTGAAACGCAAGTGTAAAAGCGGCGTGTAAAGACTTTACCTTCGAAATTTCGAATGATAGGATGAGGAAGTACTAAAAAATAAAGGATAAGGGATCAAAGGATTCGGCGTCTTCAATACTTTCTGAGGATATGCGCCGAACGCACACACTAACTTCATAGTCGAAGAGGCAATTGTATGCGTGCGAGCCTATTACAGTGACTTACGGGGGCCAGCCGTTTCCACAAGTCAGTGCTTTTATCCTCCCAGATTGCTCTGATACCAATTTACCGGCCCCTGGGGGTAGAGGGCTTGGTTGGCCCAGGGACGGGCATCGAACCTGCGTCCGATCTGGTCATAGCGGCGCCTCATACCACTACGCCACTCGTCCATGTACTAAAAAGCAAGTGAAATTGCTCACCATAAAAACTTTAGAATCTTCAGGGTGAAGAATGAATAAAAGAAGTGTAGGGAAGTCGAGGAGGTAGAATCAGAACAGCTTATTTGCAGAAGTTCAATCTTTTTGCAAGCGAAGTTTTTATTATGATTCGTGACTTTTTTATTCCTTGAGTGATTCATTACTTTTTCAGAGGTGTTTTTCAGCAAATAAACAGAGATTTCAAAATTCAAAAGCAGATCTAAACAAGGAAGTTCATTTTCTCCATAGAACAGCATAATATTTTGCTCGAAAATGAAAGCAGATCGTTTGATATGGTAAGGGCATTTGAATCCACTTCGCTAAGGGTTTATATACGCATTAGCCAACATTTAATTAAGTAAGCTGCAGTTGTAACTTCGACTCCCGCACAACTATTTACAAGCTAGGCGTGACGTAAATGATGCAACTTATCTTTTCTCTCTTTAAGTTTTTATATTCCTAGTAGAGTTCACGAAAATCCGCAAAAATAACGCTCACACTTTTTTGAGTTCAGAAGCGACAAGGACGTTCGATTAATGTCAAGCAGATAAGTTAGAGCGTCATAGATATTAGTAATAGGTTCCAGCATACATCAGAATCCAGTCTATTACTTAAGTAGGGGATTAATTTAGCAGAGTGCACCGAAAGATTGCGTCACGGATTACTGCTTATCAGCACGAGAAAACAAAAAGTGAAACTATAGTATCCTATATCCGTTTCATTCCTTCCACTAGAGAGAAAAGGGCACGAATACGACATTGTTTGAAAATCATCAGTAGTGAAGGAAGCTTGTAGGCAGCGAAAGGAGAAAAATTAGAAACAGAAAGAAAATAACCTTAAGCAGTCAGCTTCTGTTTTAAAATAGTAGATGACTTGACCTTGTAACTCAAAATTGGGTAATCCGAAGTATAATAAAAAAATGACTGTTGTCAAGAATATGTCAAAGCAATGAATAGTACATATCCTTTAATTCAACTGGATTGGCGTCTGGAAGGCGGGGCTTCGTGACCTAAGTGAGGCTAGAGAATGATGAGAGAGCAAGCGCGCGAGAGAGACGCCGAGTGCGTCGCGGGAGCGAGCGCCCTTAATTAGGTTACAAAGCCCCGCCTTTCAGCCGCCAATTTAGTTGAGCCAAAGGTTGATGTACATTGCTCAAATACTGCTTGTCGCGCACCATGTGAGAAACTTTTCACAAATTTGAATTTAGCATGCAGTCAGCAAATTGCTCATCTCTGCATCACCACGGTAAAACGAAACTTAAAAAATTTAAAACAGTAATTTTGAATGGCTAACCAAACAAGGACATTGTCTCCTGTTACAATAAAAATTTTCTCAAATAGTTGATGCGTGACTGAAAGATTAGAACTGTTTTTTTTGCAAATAGCTAGTTAAATAATAGCTATTTGAATTTTCACAAAAGTTTCTTTTGCATGTCAAGACGAAATTATTCTGTTGGATAACAAACACACTTCTGTCACATAATACATGAAGTAAGTTTATAGCACGACCATACATGCTACATAGAAAAGGAAAAGCAGAATATTTGGCAATGATGTCAATCATTTAACCAAAGAATTCTCCAAGTTGCCTACAAGAAAAAACCTGCAGCCTTTCACAAAAATCGAGCGCACATTTTAGAAAATGAAGACTCTTGGTATGTGCATGAGTGCACTATGAATGCTTAATAACATCTTACACGACTGACAGGCTACAATTCATCACTCAAACTCATCCAAAACTTTTGACGAGGACTACTGACAAATTATACGCAATAATTAGGCCTAGAGACATTGGGACACTCCCTAGAAAAGAAACGGTTAATACATGCCAGACAACACTGCTGCGATGAGTAGTCGCACACAAAGATTTCCACCTTTTTGCATTTGATGGGACAAGAATGCTCCCGCGCATAGCCCCCATGGAAGGTATTTTTGTTAGGGAGGAAGGGAAGGGAGGAATCGCTACTGGTACAAAAGACATTGTTAATTACTCCGTCCACATTTCGTTAATCTGACGCGAATCCAACTCTACGATGGAGTATGCAGAAGGGAAAAATGGTGCGAACGGTCGGACTGCAATTTCTCATGCCACCACTCCCATCGCCACGCCCTCCTTCATACATTCTTTATCGATACTTTTACAAAGGCAGCGGATGAAGTGATGGGCTAATTATGAATCCCCAATCGGAGGAAAGACCTAGGTATAAAAAAGTAAATTTCTATTGCTATTTTGTTGTTCTGACACAAATTGCCCTATTTCGCGGCGTATAAGCCGCAGTTACTATTTTCATCGTGCGCGGCCAATGTGCGATGACGGGCGCGATGCGCGAAGCCGCACAAGGCAGCCAATTGCTATGTATTTTACCTAGTAACCTCATAGTATTTCTGCTTTCGTTCTTTGTTGTAAAAGCATTGAAAGCGCTGTTGAAATATTAACACTCATCAGTAACATCGTTGAAAACAAAAGAAAGTACCGTCAACGATTGAATCCTCGAGGAAGAAATCAACCTAAACGCCTGCAAAATCGTCCGAATGTCTGGAAGGAGTACAGATATACCCGTGAACATGAACAGTCGCAGTGAAGACAGTCACAAATGCACCGGGTCTTCAGTTTGTTAGATTGAAATTATTCTTTCGAAGGGCTTTCTCGTCATTGTGCGATGGCAGGTGCAGCTAAGCCGAAAAATTGGGTTCTTAAATTTACCATGGGTGAGTTTGGTGGAAGATTGACGACGGAAGAGGTCGGTTTTTTTTTGCGAAGCGGGTGCGAGCACGGCAATCAAGCACATTTTACCGTTAGAGTTCATACTCCAGCGCGTACGCCCCTCTAACATTCGCAGCTGGTTCTTCCGGGAACTGCGGACATGTCGGCGTCTCCGTGATCGAGCGCTCTTTCGTTTCTCTTACCGTCTGCTGTCTCTCCTATGCACAAGCTATCTTCGTTGGACGCAACGACGCCCAATCTTTGCGTGTCATGAACCGACGATAGGCTTATTAGACCCTTTCGTTTCTCGTTAGTTAAGTGTTTTTTACATGCACATCTAGCGGGCGACCAGTCTCACTGATAAGGCGGAAGAGCATTTCATACGTTTTCGAGCTTTGCTCACTGTGAAGCTTCAGTAATCTATTTGTAACTGAAGTGGTGCTCCCAAATCCCGCTTTTAGAGGTCATGTCTTCGCAGTGTTTACTCTAAATACAGTTGAGCTTTTCAGCCTTATCACTTCACTGTTTCATTGACCAGTAGTGGTAAACAGCAGGTCATTACCTAGTTGGTAAACCGCTACCCAGGATTTCCGTCCTGGGAGGGGAAGGGGACATAAATTTTTCTTCAGGTAATGTGTACGGCGGCTGCTCCTTCCCCCCTCCCTCCCCCCCCCCCCCCCCCCCACCTCCCGACTCTTTTACAAGGTTAGTTGAACTTTTAAAACTCTTCAAAAATCATTTCAATTACTTACGATTATAAACGTCATTTGCACATTACAGCCGCCGTACACATTACTTGAAAAAAAAAGTTTATGTCCCCTTCCCCTCCCAGGACGGAAATCCTGGGGGTAGCCGTTTACCAATTAGGTAATGACCTGCTGTTTATTTGATTCATGAAATAATTTTCAAAAATATTACGCGACTCCTACGCCATTGGTAACAGGATACGGTAGAAAATTGCCTCCAGACAATGATATAGCCCGACTCAATCAGTAAATGGTTAGAGCAATTTAGTACTAATTATGTTACAACTATTCTCAGCGATACAAACAATGACTCTCGATGAAGTAATAGAATAAAGCTACAAATACATAACTAGCTGCGAAAAAACGATATTCTATACTCCTTACCATTTCTGGTCTTAAGTATTCAACCCATTACCATAGTAATAACAGATACTGTTCAAAAGATCGAAACCAATGTGACACGTTTTGAGTGAAGATATTATCCTCAAAAAAGAGAAATTCAACGCGCAAAGGGTATTTAATCCCTTTGAGACAGTGGACGTGTAAATCTGGGTACCTTATGTGTGGAAATCGATTCGGAGGCTCAAGAAACTACTGGGAAAATCAGGATCTCAGCTGGTAGTACGTGTAGTCCAATAGAAAGCTTATAAGTTCATTTAATATTTTATGCAAATCCATACAGGTCTCATTTCAATTATTGGTATCGTAAAGGTATCGTTTTAGCAATTATCCACGGTAGCCCATGATTTTTTTGCAAACGCCCAGAACAACACCTTATTTACAATCTCGAAAGCACGTCACCTATGATGGAGAAATCAGCCTTGATTACCACTTAGCCTTTGCTAACCAATAATTAGAGTACTAACCCTTCACAATATACTCACTGACTTGCAATTATAGATATGATCCCCTTGTTCCACCCAAGATTTGGGTCACAAATTTTGTGGTCTACGTGGAGGATAAATTTTTCATTGGATTTGTATTGTTTGGAAACGAGTTGGAATAAAGACTTTGAAATTGGCTACATCATGAAAACTTGTGGAGTCCCCCCCCCCCCCTCCAAAAAAAAAATCCTGGTCAACGCTGGCTATTCAGAACTGAGAAGCCTGACGTGAAGTTGGTGGTTATGGGCCTATTTGCAGCCTGAAGTAGAAACTAGATAGCCATTCCATCTCCTTGTACCACTCTAGTGCTTTGGCCAGACAACATTTTTATATCAAAGATTTATGTGACCTCAAAGAGAAAATAATGATGGTACAAATGCTTTCAGTATTTACAGAAAAATTCAGAAACTGCGTAGCTGAGTGAACAAATCGTTGGTATAAGCGTAAGTGACATAAGACGTGAGTGTTGACAAATGTGATAGATATGCATGCGACTGGAATGTGTAATTTTGAAAAACTCAATAACAAGAAAAATCAGAAGAAAACAGAGATACGCTCATGCAAAATTTTCAAAGAAAATGAAGGATAAATGAATTTTGGGTTTATAAGTATCGATATGGTATAGAAGATGCCGGTACAACTAATGCGATAGCAACCCACCATAATGGTTCAGTAATATGAATGCGCAGATCAAAATGTGACAAATGATAGATGGCACCGCGCCATCACAGCGACCGCGACGCATTCATTATCTGCGCTAACAACTCAAAAATATGTGTCTGAAGGTAGAAACAACTTAGGCATGATTGACTCGAGGTATGTTTACAAATTTGAGTTGTTAAAAAGCGAGGTATCAATTTTGTGCATTTTCAGCGTCAGATCTACTTCTTTCGTAGCGGCTTCCAGTTACGCTGCTTTCCTAAAAAATATTCTATGGGGGCAATGACACTGATGTTTAAAACAATTGTTAGTAATTCGCAATACCAATCGGAAATTATAGCATTTACACAAAAATATTGCCCAAAATTGCTGTGAACTGATAAAAAAATCTCAATAAGCAAAATGTAATTTATAGAAAACCTCTGATATATCTTCCAGACGAGCTTTCCTCTTTGCAGCCAATGTATCTGGTGATAGGAAAACGTTTTGCACCTCTAGCAGCGACTCCCTGGTTCGAGATCTGGATTTCTTTGGCGTCTAAAATGAATGTCAAATGACACGTATAGTCTGAAAAAGGACCAAACATCAACAAACCTCTTCTTCGTATCCCTTCTCTTTTAGTATGGCCTCCTTTTTGGGTACAGTGGGAATCTGGTCATCTTCCGCTATGTTACGCCGTTTTTTCGCTGGAGTATCACCTAAAACAGATTACAGACATTTGTGCAAAACAGCAAAAAGTCTATGTTCATTCTATCAATAGACGAAGGACGTCCTCATCCAATTTACTGCAGAGATAGATCGTGTACCAATGCACAAATCTTTGGAAATTTTCCATCCACATTTTTTGCAATGAAGTGCAATTTGTATATTTCGCCCGAAAAACAGCAAACAAAACACAAGTATCGTCCCATGCGGCAAAGTAAACCAGCCCTACATACCTGACTTTTGTGGATGCAACCAGTGTTCCTCAACCATTTCAGTGAAATCTTTGTTGATGACGCCCAGACGATCGCGCATATCTTGCACCAACGTCTGCTCACGTTTCGCCTAAAAGGTACAATTAAAATTAAAAATTATCTAACCCGGAATAAAAAGTACCTGCTGCGTTCCATACTGTTCTTCATCCTTCTTCGTTTCATCTTTGATACATTTCAGCTCGTCACATAGTCGATCAATAGAATCCAGTATACTTCTCGCTTCTTCATAACCGGCTATATTAGTAGAGGTTAGGGCTTGCTCGAATTCGGCTGCGTTTTTCTGAAAAAAAAACATTCGCAATGTGGAAGCGCCAGGCCAACGGGCTCACCTTGAGAGACTCATTAATCTCAACCGTCGTGGTACGGGTGTCCTCTAATGCAGCACATATTGAAGAGCTAAAGGTAAAGGATCAAAGTAACAACAGAAAAGAATAATTACGGAATATAAAAACTGTACCTTCCTTCTCTGACGGCTGGACCTGCCTTTTCATGTGTGAATTGTAGCGATGATAGCGCTTCCAGCGCTACGCCTTCTTGCCCTTGATATTCGGATGACCACGTTTCAATTTGCGCTAGATGTTCTTGCAAATTCTCTTGGGCATCTGATTCCATGCTGAAAAATAAGAATTAAACTACCATGCTTACTCGCGAGATGTTTACTCAGCAGTGGCAGCGGACCGAAAAGAACCTTCCCCCCCACCTCCTCAAAAATGGTCTAGAGGTCTTTGCAAGTGGTCTACACTAATGATGATATTGTGCAAGTACCTTAGCTTTACGAGAACAAGACGCACTCTTTGCTTCGATAAATGCGAGCAGTATTGCTGTGTCTCGCGAAAGGGTTGTGGTTCCGAAAAATTATCTCGTGACCGCCCAGCTAATACTGCTTTTGGGCTTTCGTCCGGCAGTGCATTTGAAGGTATTCTGCATGGGACTTAGTTTTTAATCAAAAATAGTTGATGATCATTTTTTGAAATTTCAAAGTCCTAAATTCAGGCACTATAACGTCAAAAATTCAAGAAGCACTCCGACATTTTTTTCGGAGGGCGCGGCTAAGAACCCCACAAAAAATGTCCCCCTCTAAAAAACCTTCCTGGATAGCCAAAGACTCAGATGCAGTCACAGACACTGTTCTAGGCCTTGTCTGGAGCATGAAAACTCTACATAAAACAAGAAAGCTTAGATCTACTCACTTATCTGTGATCTCCATAATAGCCGATTCGTGTTCGCTACACTTCTCGATAATTGCCCTCGCCAAAGCGTTAATCTGGAAGAAGGAGTTGGAAGCCAATCATACGTTAAACATGGAAGTGGACCTCAGAAGTTTTCTCTCGTTGCACTCGCAGTGCATTTATAGCATTGAGCCGTTTGCATCGATCTTCTTCTATGATTTTTCGCCTTTGCTCAAGCTGAAAATGGGAACGTTCATAGCTTTTGCATGAAAAGACTTGGTCAAAATAAGTTCTCTCCTGGTAACGAAGAAAACTAGAAATGTAATAGATTTGCAAATAACTGTACCATGAATTCAGAACTCTTCCTTAATTCTTTGAAAACTTCTGAAAGGCTTTTCGCCTCATTCATCATGTTTTCAAAGAAAAGTAGAACCGTTTTTGCCAAAGCCTGGAGTCCAAATACTTGTGATGTCTAAAACAAAGTAGACCTCGGTTTCCAGATACGGAAGAAATTTTGACATACCATTTTTTCTCTCACATTCGACTCGGATTCATTCGATAAAGCAATAATCTGATGAATGTATGTTTGTGTAAGCTTCTCCGATTCTAGTAACTTTCGCTGTTGCAACTCGTCAGCCTTGCTTACGCAACTCTTACTATTCTCAAGATGGTCGCTCATCTTTGAATCATTCCTTTCTGGAGATATACAAGATTTTAATAAAAGAAATGTGCGAACAGATTCTTCAGTGTTCAGGAAAAAATTGTCAAGAAAGGTATTTCCGGAAAACAGCTTGGAAAGAAGAGAAAGACAAAGGGGGGGGGGGGAGGACCGCTAACATCGGCATCAATTGTTTACATATTAAACACTTTTTGATAAGCTAGATCAAATAAAATTACCTCTTTCTTCGCTGTAGCGATCACGGTTTTCTTTGCACGCCTTCGAATAAGCCGTCAGCAGTGCACAACAGTCCGTCACCTCAGGTTTTACCTGGAAGCATAGAACCAAATTTAGAACATGCTCTAGAAGATTTAAACTCGTACCTTTTCATGGATCGCTTCAACGAGTTCTCTGTTTTGCGAGATCAGATCCAGCAGAGATTCTTCCTTGTTCCACCAATCCTGGATCTCCAGCTGTTGATCGTAGACGACTTCGCGAGTCTGCAAGGAACAGTGACATTTGTTATCAACTTATTGAAAACGTGCACCTTACCATTCTCAGCTCCTTAGACAACTTCTTGGCAACTTTATGAATATCGTCAAAAGCGTCCTTGGTAGCGTTGAATCGGTCGGTGGTAACAGCCAAGTTCTACAAGAAAAATATGGAATCTCATACGAAAAGAGATCTATGAGTTTTCCACCTTTTTGACATCATCGAGCTCATCGACTCGTTGTTGAAGCTTCAGTTCCAACCGCTTGTTACGATGGTACAGCTCGCGGTACTGTTCATCCATAATCTCTTGGTCTTCGATGAACTGTAAAAAATGAACTTTCATTTAATGAAGGTGTATTTCCAATTTCTATTTACTCGTAACCACGATACGGGACAACCAATGCTAAATCAAACTTGGATGCAACATGGATTTATGAACAACTAACACCGCTACTTCGTTCTTACAATCTGTTACTTATACAAGATGGAAACGAATTCCGCCCTTTTGGGGCCTCCGCGCGCTACTAATCCTCAGACAACATGCGATAGTATAGCGAAAGTAGCAAGTGTCCACGTAGGCTGCCCAAGATGGCAATCTTCACCCTTTGGTGGTCACAAAAGCTCGTCAGAGTAGATGCGAATCAACCCAAAATCAACTTTAGCTAATTTCTCGGGTAGGGGCAAGAGCATCAAAAGTTTACCCCCACAGCTATATAACCTACACGAAAGGAAAAAAAAATAAAAAGTTGAGTAACAGGTCAAAGTAGACAAAGCTAAATCAAATACGAGTCACCTTCTGAAGTCTCCCTATGGCAGCGTCAAGTTGGCCTTCGAGTTCATTCAGCTGCTCGGTCTTCGCAGCAATCTCTTTTTCCATACCCCTGCAATGCTGGCGTCTGGCTCAGGGATTTATTGCTTAAGAAAAAATTAAACGGACTCGTAGCTCTCCTGGCTAAGGAATATTCCGTTCTTCTCACGAGCTGTTCGCAAGTCGCGCCTCAGCCTCTCAATCTCGTCGTTATACTCCTAAAATTTGACCTTGATGCCAATCATACCACACTTGCCTCTTAACATTACCTTGAACAATGCCTTCCTGGAGACCTTTTGATTGCACTCAGGATGGTTCTTGATGGATTTTGCCCTAGCAGCATATTCTAGCGTAGATATGGTTTCCTACAAATAAAAATTTGAAAAAGAACAATGGAAATAGTGGCAGACCTCATAGTTGGTAGAGGCTGGGGAGAGTGTTGCAATAATGGACGTGATTGTAGCGCCACCCAAACTGTCCTGCAGCAGACGAGTCAGCTTAGATTCTCTGGAACATGAATATAGTTTATTTAGAGAAAGTTGAAAAAAAAAACTAGAAATGCAACCTGTACGGGACATGAGGAGCTGAACTTGTTAGCGCTGTGATCACTCTGCCCAACGTAAGTAACGACTGATTGATGTTTCCTATGAAGGTAAAAATTCTCAACCACACCGTGAAGAGGACGCAACTTACCCGCTTCCTTGGCTCGTTTCCCTTCAGCGCCCGATCTGCCTATATGCTCTGATCCAGCGAGATCCACGAGATTCAATTTTCCCTACAAAAACCTAGGTATGACTTCATTTTTCTGGAAATCAATGTGCTCAAAGGCGGGGGGAGGGGGGGGGGATAAACAAGCACGTTCTTGAAAATTACCAAATCTCAGGAAAAATCAAAATCAGGGGTTTGCGAGTTCCGTCTTTTAAATTAAATTGCATCAAAAAAGCCACATAATTTTCACAGTGTAGCTAAGCATTAAAAATTTCGAGCTGAAAATTTTCATACCTGTTTCACAAGCTCCTCACCGCTTGCGGTGTTTTCCCTTATAACAACGCTGACGGTGAATATTGAGTGGGATCGGCTTAAAATGGAATTTGAACAAGCAACAAACGCTTTATTACAGAAGTTTAACTGTAAGAAAATAAAGATGGTACGCCCGCCTACCTAGAGTTCATGTTCATGAGCGTGGCTGCGGTCGTGCGCTTTTCTGCTCCTCTCTTTAGAAGACGGTAAACTTCGGCCCGATCTCTTACAGGTATCTCTTCGGCGCCCGATATCACAACAACGCCCTCAAATTAACACTTTTTATGAAGCGTCTAAAAAAGCAATGCCGAGACCTACCTTTTTGGACGGGTCATCGAAAATCCTCAATCGTTCCCGATCATCCGAAGTGGGGGCGAGTAGATCATATAATTCTTCGTTGTAAAGTTCGAGGTAGCTAATTCGAACACTGTACTCTTCTGTGCTCTAAACAGCTTTTTTCACTTTAGCTCAAAGGCTAGCTTATCATCTACCGTAAATATGTATAAGAGTGCAGAAATTCGACTATGATTTCTAGAAGAGGTTTGCAAAAGCAACTCAAATGGCCTATGAGTAAGCATTAAAAAACTCACCGATTTTGCTAATTCTTCGAAAATATGCTCCACGGCCCGTGGAATGATACCAGTTGTTGGATCTTCTTGATAAGAATCGTACTTTCCCGAGCCCCCTTCCATCGTGTAAGTTTTGCCCGTTCCAGTCTGCCCATATCTGAAGTACTTCCTTTGTGGCAAAAAACTAGAAATGAAATTGCCTCAACTCACGCAAATAGTGTGCAATTGTAGCCAGCTAGCACGCGCTCAACTTGGGAAGAAACCATGTCGGCATAAATACGCTCTTGGGTTGTATTGGGACCATAGACCTGAATAAAATTCATCAAAAAATAGATGTGATACCGTGTAGATCTATATCTGCATAGTTGAGTATCAAGCATAAAATCGTTTGTAACTGATAATCAACACAAAAGGGAAAAACACCTCAAAACAACTTCGTCGTTATGACCATTTCATTGCGACCGACAAAGCCACTTGTGAGATAGGCGCAAGATGACTGGACCATTTATGAAGCAGCTAAGCAAGTAACCATAAATGCTGGCCCTCTAAACTCTACCCTTCAACGCTACTTTCCATCGTAAACAAGAAGGCTATTTAGACCACAAGACCACAAAGTTATGGCTGGCCCAGAGCTTAGAATTGAATCTTCCGCCACAAATGAAAGATATAGATTGTCACCGCGCACTAACTTGGCTAAGGCTCCTAGTCAACCACACAAGAAGTGCAGATATTGAATTTGCCTAGACATCTCTTTACACATCTCACGATAATATACGTTTTTCATTTAGTACAAATAACTGTCGCAACTTGGCCGATTGAACAGACATAGAATCCGTGCAAAATTCACCAGTTGCCAGATAGTTTACCCACCAGTTTACCGAACACATTTTCAAGCAGCACCTAAGGCATCAAGTGCGTACACGGACGGCATTCACCAGAAAAACCATGCACGTCTCCATTGTGCGGCAGTGCAAAACTTTGCTTCGGTGGCTATGCTATGAAACTGCAAGTTGTGCAGTGTGGACACTGTCAAACAGGCAGAAGAACCAACTGTCCTCAAAAGAAGCGTGAGTTTCCATAGTCGATTCCTTTCGCCACATCCCTATAGCATGTGGTAAATGGAACCGAATAAACTCACAGCCCCTTTTGACATAGTTGATCTTCTACCCATTAGACCATGTTCACGTCTGGCGACGCGCCGCTGACTTCGGACAAGCCGAACGCTGCGCATTTCCGCCGCGCTCGATTAATGCACCGAACATATTAGGCTTAGAGACGACTAGAGGATCGACTCTTTTGTAGGTGAAAGTCGATCCCCCGCCAACTGAGCATAGCCCTGGTGGGATGGGTGGATCGCAAGGTAAATGAGTAAATGAATAATCAACCGTAAGGAAAATAAAGAAAAAACCCTATTCTTGCAGCAATAAGCTTCACCTTTCTTCATCAAAGTGAAAAAAAATATTTATCCCTACCTTATCAAAAGACGAGAAGATCTTATTTTTGCAGGTTACCGTAAGTTTCTTGTCATCCAACTTAACGATTGACTTAGCCCCTTCCGCTTTCTCTCCATCGTTTATGGGCCTAAACAGAAGTTTCTATAGCGATGTGTGAATAATCCAATGCTTGGCTTACCTGACTCTCACGGCAACCCGGACATTGATTTTGCTTTCCACTTTCTTGTGAGTGGACATTGTAAGTAGGGAATAGCTACGAGTAGTGCTCGACAATGCTGAAGATGATTTGATCATTTCAACAAAATTTTGCCAAAGTAAAATATATGGCGCGCGAATCACGAATATCGCCTTTCACCAACAATGATATTAGAAAAAAATTCGCACACAATATTTCATGAGGTAGGTTGGATGCGATAAATAGTGAAAACTACAAGTTTTTTGCAGAAATTCGGTCTGAGATTTGCAGGCTCGATTATGATAATAGTGGTGTGCAAAAAAATTGGAATAGCTCCCATGAGCTGATCTCATACGCGAGTAAAATAATCCTTTCTATGAAAAGAGATCTAAACTCTAGATTTTATGAAACCATTATGATATACAGACATGTTTATAATATTATATTCTAGCGAAACTCTATGGAGAAAATCAGTCTCTCGCACTAAAATGAAATGGCCATGACAAATGTACGATGACTATATTTAGAAATGTTGAACTTATTGTCTGGTGTCCTGATGGTCAGTGGATCCTTTTCTAAAAGCTGGCGATGTAAGGTTAGAGATTCAGCGATTTCAAACAAACATTAATGGATTATTACATCAATTTTTTTTTGTTTCATATGCAATGCAATCAAAAGAAACCAGTTGTCCAAGCAACTATTGGGGAAAATGAATGTTATGATAGTAAATCCTCATTGAAGGACCGGTTGGATGGAACAACAATTCAACAAGAGCCAACAACAAGCCAGATTCCACCTTGAAAACGCCAACTATAAAAAGCACGATAGAATACGTGAGATTAATGAGATTGCTATCATGATAATTCAAATAGAGTTCCCATCGAATGTAATAGCAAGACAAAAAACATACAAACAACACTTTTCAACATTGATTTACCGCGACAAATTGTGGAGGTGAATTTGAAATCGGGATTGTCGCGCGCTACGCAGTGCAATTAGAGCGCCACAGACCTCACCGGGTGTAAATCTCAACAAATCTGTTTTCATCATTTTCAGTGTGAAGAGAAGCTCTATCGAAGTTTTGCACTCACCTCGATAAGATACTAGGCTGTTTCGAAAGTTCTGTCCAATCTGCGATTTTTTCATCTAAAAGCTATAACTTTTTTCAAAATCAACAATTTTGAAGAGATCAAATTTTATTGAATTAAGCGAGTTTATGACTATTACATGCACTGTATGACATGTAAGGAAGGCAAACGAGAGATAAGAGAAATTTTTTTTTGAATTCTGTAAGGTTTCCTTCAAAACCGTCCAGTTTGACTTACTAATGCTCCCATATGAGGATGGGCAGACAAATTTGGTTGCCATCACTAAGTAGCCTATGCTTCAAAGGTTTTTTGCAGTTAAGAAAAATTCGAGTCATCCTTGCTGCATAGAAATTTTTGCGAGCAAATAAAAAACCCATTTTTTGAGCCCTTTTACGCGTGGGAAAATACGCCGATTTTCTAATATTTGATTTTTTCTTGCTGTCGCAAACGAAGAAAGCCAATTAACCGACGGTTCCTGCTTGTCCTCGCTTTACTGTAACATATGCAATATTGAATGCATCGCTCCCTGTCGCTATATGCAGATTTTTGTCGCTTGTTGAAAAACTGAGTTTGTCTTCTATCTTTGAAAAAACTGAACAAGTAAGACATTCTCTACATTGCAGGAAAACTGTGCTTATGATAGCCCATTACACCCTGACCCATTATAAAATATTACATATCTAGTCTTACGAATACTACGGAAGTTCTCTTCATGGAAACTTTTTCTTGGGCATGACATCATTTTGGCAGCTTTGCTTGAGGGTTTAAAAAATCATCACCGGAAATTGGTTCGCCAAGCATCTGTGAGCACTAGAAAGAGCAGGAAATGTACTTCTAGATGGTGTTTATGACAGTGTTATAAATGCAAAACCCTAAGAAAATAGCTGCGTTAAAGGCAGTGGTTCGGCACTCACTGTCAAATTTGCGCTTACCTGGGGTTTTTCAATCGTTAATCCCGAAAATCCACTTTTGAAAGCTTGAAAATGGCGAACGTGAGCGTTTTTTAATGCCTTTCCCAACCTACCGCGTTAAAATCCCGAGTTGTTAGATTTTGCCGATCCACTGCTCTAAAACAAGGCAACCGAAAATCGCACAGAACTTTTGAAACAGCCTAGTTTAATCAGCAAAGACACGTTCGCAAATTCGTGAGACAATTAGAAAAGGAAATGACTTGCATTCAGACATCTAACAAAAGTATTCCCTTAAGACTGATTGTGACCGAATTCTGTTTCTTTTATGGGCTATAGTTGACTAATCTGGTTAAAAGGATGTGGAAGAGCAAGCCTGCATATGCTTTGTATCAGGGGTGGTCCCAGTATTTCCGTTCGGGAAGGTGAGGGGGGGGGGGGCAGCGCGACAAAAAAATTGTTTGAGTGAAGCTCTCGGCTAGCCATGCACTCGGAAAACATTTTGCACAAAGCATTTGATTTTTCAAAAAATTCTAAAAGTTATTCTCCTTATTCATGAATATAAGCAAGTGACTTGCACGTTCTTTACGCTATGTAAGTTTCAAATTTCCCATTCTATCGCTGTGTATTCCAGACAGATACTCTAGTTTGGCGATATTTAGCGCTCCTGCGGTTCCGACAACATTTGTACGTAAGGGAACGGCCATAGGTTGTCGATGTTGTCGGTGTTGTCGGTGTTGTCGGTGTTGTCGGTGTTGTCGGTGTTGTCGGTGTTGTCGGTGTTGTCGGTCTTGTCGATGTTGTCGGTGTTGTCGGAGTTGTCGGGGTCAGAGACAGTTTAGAGAGCGCGCGAAACGTGGAGGCTATCATGAGTCCTACAACGATCGGCAACCCTGACAACACCGACAACTCCGACAACATCAACAACACACCGACATACCGACAACATCGACAACACCGACAACCTATGGCCGTTCCCTAAGAGAAATCCACTGAGTTCAAGGCTCTCTACGGCGATTTTTTAGCTTAGGTGTTGTCAATGCCACAATGGAACTGTACCTAAAAGAAGGAGAAGCGCTGACTATGTGCTTAGGCTTTCACTATGGTGGTCTCGTGCCAGTGTCGCGCCAGTGTTCATGTGAACGAGAAACGTATTGATTGACCACAGCGCTGGTGTAGAGAATGTTCCAGAAATAAGGATTACACGAACAACAACAATTACGGTAGTACGATGTGGAGCTGCAATTACAGAACCGGCTATGGTAAGATCGTGATGACCTTCCAAAGCGTACACCGAGAAGAACATCTGAACTAGAAACTTTGTAACGATAAGACGATTGAACTGGAAAATTGTGCAACTTTTTAGATTTACGCATAGCAATTTACTAGTAAATAGCGATAATTGTTGGTGCTCCCATTGTGAGGTATTATATTAGGTTGTCCCGAAAGTTTTGTCGGTTTTTTTCATCGCTCACCAAACCTCACAGAACACCAATCCATGGACGGTCTAGGTGTCATTCTAATCATTTTTGTATCCTCTTTCTTACAGCTATATTTGTTCCCTGATCTACCCCGTCTTTACGATGTTATCGCCATGGGTTTTTTAGCACCTCAGCAGTAGCGCCAAAACTTTCCTGAATTTTCAAAATTTTTATCTTTATATTTTCGATAAGCGCTGGTGACTGTTATGTAGGGCAAACCTTTGGCTACATTGTACCTATTTTAGATTACGTGGGCCACGTTTATAATGTCCGTAATAATAAAAACCGCGGCTTTTTGAACACGTTTTATCACGTAAAATTACCGAAAATTCCAAAAAGCTGATTTTTGAAGCAAATCAAACCTGGTTATGTTGCATAAATGATGTTGAATAACAAACAAGTTTGAATTCGTAAAACTCGAAAGCTTTCATGCTTTTGCTGCAATTGCGCGTTTCATGACTTTGCTAAAAACCAAGGCTTCCGGAGAAATAATTTTTTGAAGTTAAAATCAGCAGATTAGGAGAATCTAAAAATATGAGCTTATAGCCCGAGAGTTGCTCTATTTGATCCAAACTTAGTCTCTTTCGAAACTTTGTAATGAAATTTTTGAAAATTAGCTCAACTTTGAGCAGGTAAAATTGACAGGTGGAGAATTTTGGCAATTATCAAAAAAAAGCATACAAGATTATGGTATGAAGGTGTATCCATAAGAAAGAGAAGGAAAAGCTGCATCGAATGCACGTTGAAGCTCACTCAAATCTTCATTGCGTGTTTTTACAGTGGTTTGAAAAAACCGACAAAACTTTCGGGACAACCTAATATATACATCCAAGGTTCAATTGTAGAGATCGACTTTTGTCATGACTAAGTTCTAGCCTTTTCTCTCTTTTATAAGTGTCTGTTTTGGATTCTTGTTCTCTCACGTTCTCTTCCTACTTTATTGTGGCTATATATTTTGTTTAGATTTCCTTCACTAAAGCTAGGTTATGCATTTCATGTAGAATTTCTTTTCCAAATAATCATCAAAGATCATAGATATTCTGGATTCTTGGTCTCGACGATTAGTTACTGCGTAATGTGGTGTCTGCTTCGCGATTTCCGCATAGGTGTAGTTGCTTAATACGATATTCGCCATACCGTATCGTACGTAATACCACATGAGGTGGATCCTTAAATTTATACAGTTGTGCTGCCTGTTGAAGTCGCGTTATTAGTGACATTCCAGCGTTCTATTGAGAATCTTCGACCAAGATATGGGGCGTGTATTAAAGACTGGAATTCGTCCAAGTTGCCTGACTCTGAATAAACGCCTGATCAAAAACACAGGTTCCATCGGTACAATTTTGAAAGAAAAACTACTGCCGTTTTTGTCCTGGAGATATCGTGTAACACGCTTCGTTCTTCTTTAGCGGACCATGCGTAGAACATAATCCTGAATTGTAACATCTCGAGGAGCATGGGGGAAGATGACGACGTGATTTGATGTTGTAAGGTAGCTAGTATTCAGTTGACAATGCTTCGTAAGTTTCTCATGAAGTAGAGAGTCTTCAGAAAATCGGAAAACAAGGTTCGGATGGGGCAAGACATATAGTCGCGAGTGACAAAAGCTTCAAAGACTCCTACTT